ATACTGTAGGATTCACAGTTTGTCTGGTTTGTGTTGACAACTACCATACTAACGAACCGTATACAGGTAATAAATTTCCTTTATTTTCATTTAACAATAAATGTGTACTTCATGGAAAAATAAGACATCCCCTGAAAATAAGACCTAGCGCATCTTTGGGAGCAAAAATTAATATAAGACACTGTCTATTTTCGGGGAAACAGGGTAGTATAATAAAGTGCCCTGACCAGTTTGGCTCAGTGGATGGAACATCAGCCTGCGGACTCAAGAGTTTGATTCCGGTCAAGGGCATGTACCTTGGTTGCGGGCACATCTCCAGTGAGGGGTGTGCAAAAGGCAGTTGATTGATGTTTCTCTCTCATCTATCTAGCTCTCTCTCTCCCTCTAGCTCTCTCTCCTTCTAGCTCTCTCTCCCTCTCTCTTCTTCTCTGTAAAAATCAATAAAATATATATTTTTTAAAATAATGTAATAAAGCGAGTCATTAATTTTTTTTATTTCCTACTGCATGTAAAGGTTGTTTATACTGTAGTCTATTAAGTGTGCAACGGTCTTATGTCTAATAAAACAATGTACATACCTTAATTAAAAAATACTTTGCTAAAAACTGCTAACCAGCATCTGAACCTTTAGCAAGTCATAATCTTTTTTGCTGGTGAAGGTTTTACCTTCAATTTGTGAAAAATGCAGTATCCGCTGAATGCAATAAAACAAAGCACAGTAAAGGAGGTGGGCCTGTAGTAACAGCAATGAGTGAACTTCAGGGACAGCTGGAGCTATCAGTAGGTTATTCACACGACACTTAAGTTATAAGTATCAATAGGATCCCCATATAAAATGTTGAAATAAATATTTCAGTAACAATCTATTGTTAGGAGTGCATACATAGGTGATAATTTTTTTTTTTTTAAAGCAAGGGGGTGACACCACAAAAGCCAAGTGACTTACCTGCATAGAGGGAGCAGGAAATAGAATCAGGAAGAGTCAAAAGGGAGCTACAGGTTACTGGACATGTTGTACATTTCACACTAGCAGGTAGAACATTGGATGGCTTCTGGCTTTATCATTAATCTTTAAACTCTACATGTCTTAAATACATTCAAAATTTAATTATGTAGAAAATATCCATGAAACCTAAAGCTGTTTCTTAAAAAAGAAAAAAGAAAAACCCACAATAAAACTGACCAACTAGCACTCCAATGAAATAGCTCCTTGTCAAAATCATCTTCTCACCAAATGCAATGATCAGTTCTCTTATAATTGAACTCAGGCTTTCAGCAATCTAAAGAGTTGACCATTGATTTCTTGTAACGGTGTTCCCATGGTCACCTGTGACACCCCAACACTCCTGCTCAGCCTCTAAATGTTGGGAGAACCTCAAACCTGGTCCTGAATCCTTGACTCTGTAGTTTCTTCACAGGTAACCTTATTGACTCCCACGCCTTCAAATACTGCTTATGCCGATGATTCCCAAACGAGTCTCTCTAGCCCTAGCCTCTCCCTTAAATCCTAGACTCATAAATCTGTTCCTCTTGCTCACCTGGCCAGCCAGCCACCCTCAGGTCTACAGCACTCTTCTGGGAAGACCAGGATAGGAGGCTTGTCACCGCTACTTGTAGCTACAGCCACGAGCAGCCCGTGGCCCACAGCCCAGTCCACAGCTTCAGCTGCCCTCATGACCCACAGGCGGGACAGTTTCTGGCAACACCTGACCTTTAACATAGACTTTATGCCTCTTGATTCAGTTGGAACGTGACTGTGGCTATTTGATGAAAATGCTATTTTTTTAATAAGTGGTATTTTCAATTGGTTGTACCTTTCTGTCATATGTTCAAGTTTGGAGGACACATTCTCCATAGGATTAGGGAAATCACAACGCCATGAATTCTTCTGGTGCGGGTACTCAGGAGAAAAGGCAAGCCTACTCCCCTCTTTAGCCATACCTATTAATGCAGCAGGACATAAGGGAGGCGAGTCTTCCCACCCTGAGGAAACTGTGCCTTCAGCCACGGTAACTGAACTTCCTGGGCAAGAGGCTTTCTCCATGACAGAAAAGCTAGGCTGAGGCTTACCTGAGCTGCCCAGGACAAGAGCCTTCTCTCTATCAGACCATAAGAGCACCATTTATCCAGTTAACTGCCACGTGTCCAAAATGGAAAACATTCAATATTTTGAATTTAATTAAAAAATCGATTTGCAATGAATATTATAAAAATAAATATATTACAATTCAGGTGTTCTTGAATATTTTCAACAGCTGAAAATTCTCAACAAACATGATTTTAAAGTTAATTAGGGATGCCACTTAGGGAAAACATTTTTTTTTTTAATAGACACATGTGGCGTGTGGGGAAGGTCTGTCGCTTGTGTCTACATGGCGTACAATGGGTTATTATGAGCCAGACTCTATGCATACATTAGTGCTACATCTTTACAACTCTGAAAGGTAAGAATGATTTCCATACTTTGGATGAAGTGACCCTTCCAGGGCCATGCCCTCAACCACTCAGTGTCCCGCTCTCATCAAACCTTTTGCTGATTCTGGTTGATGGGACCCTGCTCTGTGTCAGGCCTGCCTGTCCATTAGTGATTTATCCAGTGAGTCTGCAATGAGTTCTTCCAAAGCCTCATGTAACCATCATCCCTCGACTGCCCTGACCTCTGTGGTCCACATCTCCATCTCCCAGACCCACAGTTCTGTTCTTATTGAGACCTGCATCTGGGCCCTGCCAGGACTGTCCTGGTTCCACTCAGGATGTCCCCTTCTCAGAAGCTCCTTCATAACCCACAAATCTGGCCTAACTGCTTGATAGCCCCTAAGTTCAGATCGAGTTTTATTCCCTAAAACATAATTATCTAGAATGATTTTTACTGAGAATCTCTGAAAAAAAAATTTCAAATACAAGCTCCAAAGTCAAAACACTTCCGGCAATTTCTCTTGGAGATTGCAGTACACAATCATTTCTGAGCAGCTTTCCACAGATAAAGTTGCTTCAAGTTTCTTCTTTTATGGATTTTTTAACTAAAGTGTATACCCTCTGAAGTTCTTTTTTTTTTTTTTTTTAATATATTTTTATTGATTTTTAGAAACATCGATGAGAGAGGAACATCTATCAGCTGCCTCCTGCACACCCCCCACCGGGGATGTGCCTGCAACCAGTGTACATGCCTTTGACCAGAATCGAACCTGGGACCCTTCAGTCCGCAGGCTGACGCTCTCTCCACTGAGCCAAACCAGTTTCGGCAGAAGTTCTGATCTTTACCATGGATTCCTTTCTGCATAGCCAGGACTCCACAGGAATCAGATGTGGATATCAGATAATTAAAAGGGTATAGTCATCCCCGGTATCTGTGGGAGATTGGTTCCAGACCCCACACTCATACCCAAATCCGAGGAAGCTTAAGTTGCATATGTACAATGGCATAATATTTGTATATAACTATGCACATCCCCTGAACACCTTAAATCAGCTCTAGGTTACTTAGAATAACTAACATAAATGTTATGTAAATAATTTATACTGTATTGTGTAGGGCAGTGTTTCCCAAACTTCTTTAAAAGAGCACTAGTTAAGTATACAATTTTACCTATATGTCCCAAAAATTCTAGTTTAGCAATTCTTAGTTGGGATTCAGGAATCAACTCCACCAGGTGGATTCTCATCATGAGAAGTTTGGGAAACACTGGTGTAGGTAATGACAAGAAAAGTCTGTACATGTTCAGAACAAACACAACCATGGAGGCCTAACTACACATTAGCAACAGCATGACTTTTTTTTATTTTAGATATTTTTGATCCGATTTGTTGAACCTGCAGATGCAGAACTCACAGATATGAAAGGTCACCTGTATCATGTGAATACTGGGTGGGTAATATTCCCTTTGGCTCTACATTGAAACTAACACATTGTCTAATTTATTAGTTTTGCTGACGAAATAATTCATATACTGAAGCACATTAATTCTAACTCTGTCAATCCCTTCCCCCAAAACTTGGCAAGTGAACTGTGTCTCCACAGACTCAAGAAAGAACCATATACGTGTGAAAGATAATTGCTTTTAATTTTCTAAGTTTTCACTTATGCAACATAATAAAGGCAGATTTATGTGACTTGATATGACATTTTTACAAAAACATTTCCCTCCAACATCTGGTCAGTAGTATATAAATATTTACAATGAAAAAATAGGCAAGGAAAAATGAAACTTTCATTATTCAAGTCAATTTCTTCCCAATGCTTATCAGAATTTTGAAAATAAAATACTTCATTAACCTTCCAGTCATACATATTTACACTTCAGCTAATGGTTTAAAAAAATCTAGGTTTAACGATGTTTTTGTTGCACATCACTCTTATTTGTTCTACACTATTTTAGCAGTCATGTGAAAGAGTAAATTAAATACAAAAAATGTAAACTTTGAAGAGAAAAGAATAAACATGTGTAAATGCACTAAGATAAAAATGTTCTTACAGAGGTTAATATTTTACAACACTAAGAAGCAAAATAAAATGCTCTATATTTCCTTAGTAAGGACATTTTGTTTAGATTTAATTTGATTATATTAACAAAAATTGCCTCTAAAGAGGATGTTAAAAAAATACCAATGACATTACCATCTTAACTGATTAATATCCATTGCCCTAATTTTCTCTAAAAGAAACTGTGACTTTTTTAAAAAGTGATAAATATAAATTATATCATGGAGAGCTTAAGAAGCCTCAACAAAGTGTGGTATCCTTGAAGTATGAAGACTTTAAAAAATAAATGTGAATAGTGCAAACCAGCCTATTTAATTTAGTGCTATTACAACATCTTCAACTCCAATGCATAAAAACATGACTTTGATTCTACCAGACGCCATGCCTTTGAAACACTGAAGGATGTGGGCAGGAATGGTGGGTGCCCGCAGCATGCCAGTTGCCTTGAGAATCTAAATGTGGAAGTTAAAGTCAAATACTGCAGTTAATAGCATTTGCAGCTCCCTAAGCCGGTAGGAAGTCAGGTGTGGGAACTGCGCCGCCCCCTGGTGCCCAGGGACACGCGGAGTCTTGGCTCTCTGGCTTTATAATGCTCATTAAAATCCAACCTGAAGCTAAGAAACCGCAGACTTTCATCAGAACTGGTCATCAGCAACACCAAAAACTGCTGCACAATCCCCTAAAGAGAAACAAAAAGAGAAAAATATTCATTTCAGAAAGGAACTATACACAAAACATGCCCCCGCAATGAAATCCCGCAAGGTGTTACTTTTTCCTTCCAAACATAAACACAACTATGGCAAGTGTACTGAGAGAGGGAATCTGCACCAGAACCTTGCAGTTTACTCACCTAATGGAGCCCACATTAGGAAGAGATGTCCATTTTACAAATTAGCAACCAATAAATTTTATCTAAAAGAACTAACCAATAGATTTTTCCATTTTGTCCCAAGTTCTCCCAGAACAATCAAGAGAGCAAAGTAACTGATGTTAAAACACCTTATTCTTTTTACATTAAAAACTTAGCATTACACTTTTCATCTTTCATACTATCTAATAAAGAAGGAATACGCAAATGGACTGTCATGCCATGCAAAATCTGGCAGCGCCCATAGACACAAGATGGCAGTGCCCAGTCCTTTCAGCCCCGCCAGAGTCCCCCAGTCCTTTCAGCCCTGCCGGGGCTGGAGAAGTGGCAGGCGTGCTGTGCAGTCAGACCCAGCCTCAGGCCCCAACCACCCAGGGCCGGCCCAAGGCACAGGCAAGCATGGATGGAACTGGAGAGCATTATGCTAAGTAAAATAAGCCTGTCAGAAAAAGATAAATATCACATAATCTCACTCATTTATGGAATATAATGAACAACATAAACTGATGAACAAAAACAAATCCAGAGACAGAGAAGCATCGATCAGACCATTAAACCAGAGGGAAGGTAGGAGAGGGGGAGGGTAAGGAGGAAAGATCAACCAAAGGACTTGTATGCATGCATATAAGCCTAACCAATGGACACAGACAATAGGGTGGTGAGGGCATGAGTGGAGGGGGGGGGGGGGGGGGGCCGCCGCAACAGGGGAATAAGGACACATATGTAATACCTTAATCAATAAAGAAATTTTAAAAATAAAATAAAAAAATATGTCTGTATGAACATAAACCAGTCATTACTACCACTTATGAAACATTTTTCCAAGAAAATGCAATAGTAAGTTAATATTAGAGTAAGAGCACTTGCAAAAGAGACACATTTCCCCCTTAGATATACTCAAAAAAATATAAAATTCAAAGCTATTTAGGATCGAAGGAAGCACACTATAAGCCTATGGTACAATGTGGTGATGCTTCATTTTAAGTTTTGAACCGCATGACTATCATAGCACACAAAAACGTAATTTTTAAAAGTTTGATTTGCCTTTCTAATTAGTTATTAGCAACCAAATGGAAAAATTCTTCATGAAAATCTTTTCATCTGTATTTTCAACATGAAAATCACACTGAGAAACAGATGAAATCAGAAACCAAACTCACAAAATAGAAATATGGCCTCTGCGGACCAACTTCCCTCATCAGCAACTTCACACCTGTTCTCCTTGAGCTCAGCCCCTTGGCTCCCCGGCAGCTCTTTGCACTTAAGATCCTGATGTACCTCCCTGTGCACTTCTCTCCAGGTCTGTGCTGAAGAGATGCACGCTGGTCTTCCCAGAGCAGCCCCCCCCACCACACACACACACACACACACACACTGATAACACTAGAACCACCCCCGGCAGGGATTCTCAGAACTGGCGGCACCACAGGTCACAGCCAACGTTGGGAACCACGGTGAGTGCTACTCACCACTACACTGATTGAGAAATTCCCTTCTAATCATTTTGACAGCCAACAGTCAATTATCGAAAATGAACAATGTGATTTGGACAGCATTTTGTTACTCTAATATGTACCTGGTAGAAATGCGTCAATATTCGCAACTGGGAACACATTTTTGGTATAGACTCTTGAAATTCTTGAATCCTCTTGTTCTCCTCCTCTTCCTCTGCTGCTGTCACTCCCCACTGGCCCTGAAGAGTCAGAAGTACCAAATTAAACTGAAATCTGGATGGAAGAAATTGTTAATGTAGGGCTGAAAAGAAATGTCAGGAGTTGGGGTGGGGGGTGCTTTCTACGTCCCTCTATAGTACTAAGAACTTCTATGGTAATTTTCTGATACCAAACTGTTCTCTGCCTTACTTTATCCCCCAATTAAATATGTACCTTGGAAATACATCAATACATATGAGTAAATGACGTGCAAGAGATTTGTGGTTCTTTGAAACTGTCACCTTTTTTTTTTTAAAGCATGATGGTGTGATGGTGACCACTCCCTTTAAAACAGCTCTTTCTCGGGACTCCAAATGTGGATGTGAGCACAGGATCAGTTTTAGGAACACTTTCGCATGAAAATTATTTGTTGTATTTATTATAATGGCAATAAGTTCATTATTTAAACTGATAAATCCACTAGCATCAAAACCATACCTCAGCTTCACGCTGCTTCTTTTTCTCTTCAAACTGTAACCGTCTCTGCAGCTCTTCCAGGGCAGCTCTATATATCGCATCCTGAGTATTCTGAAGTTCAATGATTTGATCAAACACGGCTCTAAGCTGGTTTAAAAGTGCCTAAAGAGATGACATTTTTTTTTTATGAATACAACCCCAACATTCTAAGTTTTCCAAATAAAATATTGATAATTAGTAATAAGATACTATAAAACAAGATACCAACTCGTATTCTCAAAATGCTCATTAGTTGTTCATTCATTATCAAACATTTACTGAACATCTACTATGCAGCAACACCCCATAGTAATTCTGTATCACCATAGCAACACCAGTATGACATACCCCAAGCTCTCTATTCAAATTACCTCCATTCCTCACAAAAACCTTACAAACTTGAAGCGCTACCCCAAGTGTCAAAACTTCTAGTAAGTGGTTCAGTCAGGAGCTGGACTATCCTACAGTGTGGCTCAGTGATTGAGCATCAACCCATGAACGAGAAGGTCATACTTCAATTCCTGGCCAGGACACATGCCTGGGTTGCGGGCTCAAACCCTAGTGTGAGGCATGCAGGAGGCAGCCAATCAATGATTCTCTCTCATCACTGTTCCCTCCCTCCCTCCCCTCCCTCCCTCCCTTTCTCCTTCTCCCTTCCAATCTGAAAGTAATAAAAATATATTTTAAAACAAGAAAATGAGCATGGAGCCTGGAGGGCCCTGCATTTTCTCACACCATTCTTCTGGACTTGCAGACAGGTTACTGATTATTTTGTTTTCCATGAGTTGCTGGGTTTACTTTGTTCAGATAGTAACCCTCCACACATCAAAGCCATCACTCATGATTAGTTTTTCTCTTTTGAACAACTACAAGAGGGTATTATTACACCTAGGAAAAGGATGGACATCATTACATTCTTTGCCATCTTCATATTCACTTTAGAGGGCATTCTTGTTTTAGCACTATTGTTCCAACTGTATTTACAAACAATGCACCATGAACATTTAACTAAAATAAGATTGTCTTAATCACTACTGTGGGCATCAGGCCACTTCAAAAATTCTCCATTAGACAGGACTCCAGAAAAGGAGACTATGATCTTTTCTGTTTCTTGTTTCTAAACCACACATCAGCCTTACTCTGGAGTCAGTGTCCAGTAGACACCGGGAGATGATGGTATCCAAGAACACCTCATGGGCTGCAATGATGTGGTCCAAATCTTGGGCCTGCTGCACTTTGTTCCAAAGTTCATCCCAAGAACATTCAAGCACCTAGGAAATGATATGAAACTCAGGGTAAGAATGTGTTCTTCCTAGTATAGTATCTTTCATAAATAACACCATGCAAAGCCATAGGACATGACTTATTTAAACTAAAATCAACCAATGACTCAAATGTACCTCAAATGTAATGTAATACTGCATCTGATGAATGAAATGGACCATCTCAGATGCCAGAATGTGACAATGATGCAGCACGCCAGAGAACTCTGCAAGAGTCAAGAGAACTGATGTTAGACACCACAAGGAAAAGCACTGAAAATCAACCCCATGCTTTCCTTCCTGTGTATCTACAATATATCTTTAAAAAAAAATTTTTTTTAAATCACTAGTTTTAACTCCCCACCCGTTAAAAAAGAAACGACCTTTTCATAATCAATTTCTGTGCCATTCAAGCTAAAAAAAAAAGATTTAGCTATCTATTCAAGTAGCACTATATTATTTTACAGAATATAAGGAGCTAATAAAGTATGCCATAAGACAAAATAATTGTATTTGAAAATTGAATAAAAAATTTTTATCTTATAATAATGCAATATCTTGAATAAATGCAGGCTCAATTTTATGGCTTCTTTACAATTAAGTCTCCCTATTGTGCATGAAACATTTACTATTCCCCAGCTATTTGGAGACAAAAGTGACATTTCCTCAAGGACCCGAATGTGACCTTGTCACCTGAGAGAAACATGAACCTTGGAGGGAGCCGACTCTGCTTCTATTCTTTATGAGATTATAAAACCATCAAAAGGCTTGAAGGCCACCACGGAGCAGCTGTTCTCCACCTGCACTTTTAATTTTTGCTCAAAAACTACCCAAGTATGATGGGACCCTATTGTACATGAGGATTCAATCAGAGATGGGGCCCTCAGAGGATGGACTACATAGAGATTTAAATAGGGGTCAGACTTGGCATATTCTTGTTACAAATCAGCTACTGGATAAATAATTTGTTGCTATATGCAGTTATTTGAAAAATCATTCTAGTCCTTTCTTCAGATAGTAATGTGAAAGTAAAACATATAAATAAGTATGAAAAAACTAACAGTCACAATATATACTTTTAGAAAAACTCCAGAATTAAGTGGCACTGGGGATTCTGCTGGCCTGGTCTAACATGTACTATTTGGCCAATGAAGAAACAGCACAGCAACCTCAGAAGATCATCACGTGCTCCAAATACACCTGATCTCTTCCACACCATTAGGAATCCGTACTCTGTGAATATGGCAAATATTCTTCTAAAGAATAGGGTATAAGTTTCACATTTCATTTGTAAGCCTAGAATGAAGAATGTACTTTATTTTTCACTGAAACTATCAAGTGGGGCTAAGATTTCTAGTCTAATACTCATAGCCTATTTAACCAAAATTACTTTTCAGTGTAAAGAGCATAATAAAATGCTGTTTTAAGTGGTATTCATCCATATTACCGTTTAAGTAAGCTTCTCAGGGAAGTAACTACCATTTACTGCCATTTCTATGGTGACTACCTTTTCTATTTTGGGTTTTAACCCTGAGCTGGGATGATAGACTGGATCTTCCCCCTGGAGCCAGCAGCCTTACCTGGAACAGTCTGTTCTATGTAAACATGCGTGCAGGTGTTCATAACACATACTGGTCCGCAAGACCATTCTAGGGTGTGATTTCTTTTTAGATATATAAATCTAGGTATCATTTATGGAAGTTTTTTTTTTTTTTAATGCTCTTCATTTTATCAAAGAATTCCGGTGGATTTTTTCATAGGGAAACAAATTGAGTAATGTCTTCATAAATCAAATGCAATGATACTCAGGTCTCACTGTGATAGCCAATGTCTCTGAATCTACCCTCTAGTGCACCTTAAATATTTCCTAAAATGCATTGCTTTGCACATATTCACAGTGAACACCGTCAACTTGTTTTGCAGCCTTGTGAATACTGTAGTTTATGCTTATCTGCCTTGACATTATTCTCCCAGAGAAAGTTTAACATCACTGACAAAGCTGTAATTTCTTCATATACTCTTGTAGATTTCTTATGAAAATATTAACTAGACTACTCTCACAGTTATCTCTGAGGGATCTTTTATTTACTACAGAAGCATAAAATATTTTTTTTCGCGGCTACTTTTCACCATCTAGTTCCAAATGAATTTTTATGCATAATAAAAGGAGCTCAATTCCAGAAAAACTCAAGTTTTTATTGTTTCTTTTACTCTGTATTTCTTGGGGTCTCCTCTGGAGTTTTTTCACTAGAATCACACCAACAATCAAACCTGCAGTACTTAGATATTTAATGCATTGGGTTTTAGTAGCAGGTTGTACGTTTTTGCTAACATTTTTTACATTTCAATTTTGAGCTCCTTTGCAAACCCGAAATATTTTTTTCTGGCACTATGACAGTTGGATAAGTAGACATGTAGTGATTAACTCATTAATTTTGTTGATAATCTCTGATTTACTTGAGTGTACAATTTCCCCACTGCTGATTAATCTTCTAGAATCTTTAAAGTCACCCACATTTGGAAATGAAAATGCAACTGAATGACCATAAAACAAAAATATTTACAAAAAAAAAATCACCGTTTAATGTTGGTGTCAACCTAAAATTCATGGCATCCGATCTCAGCTAATCCTCGATGATGTGGAAAAATCCATTATTTTCCCTTACTCTAAAGAAGCTGTTTAGCCTTCAGTATCTGAACGCTTTAATCCACCTCTTTCTTTTCACTTCCCCTCCTATCATGTGGAAAAGCAGCCACCAGGTGGGAACCACTCACCCCTCCGCCCCACACACACACCTCTGGCCATGGAGCCCACACTCACTGCGGCAGCAGCACAGCTCCAAAGCTAACCCAGCCGCCCCTGTGCCCTAAATGCCCTCTTCCTTTCACTCTAGGATTCATCAACCTATACTTCCTTCTTCCCATAACATTTAAAACTGCCCTTTAAACAAACAAAACTCTTCAGCAACCAGTTTTTGTGTGCCAGTCTTTTTGTATTCCTACAGCATCTGGTCCTTCCATGTCAAACAACTTATCACAGGGTATCGTAAGCTCTTGTTTAAGTGTGCATCTGGCCCTAAGGGGCAATAAACCTGTATACTGACGTCAGTATACAACTACCATGCTTCAGTTATTCTTTCTCCTAGAAAGTGACGGATATGACCACAGGTACCTTGTGTTTGTCATACCGTCACTGGGTACCAAGGAAAGGAGCACAAAGTAGGCCTTTAATGTTACTTACTGAGTGAGGGACTTATATCCTCAAAATTAAAGCAGATAGCCTGCATTCTTCTATTTAAATAGATAACTATTTAAATTCATATCCTTTTCAAAAGGTTTCCATGACCAAGGCAAATTTAACAACAATGTTAAAATGTGTTCTTTTCTTTTATAGTCTTAAAATACTACCAATATGTTTTCTTTCTTGAAAAATCATCTTTTCTTGTATATAAAATGCATCTTGATGGCACTCTCTTAAAAGAAAACCTCTGAGAATGGGTAGAACTATGGCTGCTGCTCTCAGGATACTGCCTGTTGAAAAGAAATCTGATAAAATAGGAAAAAAATCCCTGTAGCACTACAATTCTTTCTGTTCCCCATGTGAGTAATCAATCAAACATTATATATGCTGTATTTCAAAATTTCTCACTGACTCTGAACCCTATTCATAAGATTAAATTCACAATGTATAATTTGGTCCCTTAATTCCTAACTTAACAACTCACACCTGAAACACCCCTTGAATCTCTTTACCCAGCATTTTGAAAATAAATTTAAAACTAAGTTAAAATATAAGTACTTGTGTTTTTATAGTTGACTCACAAAGAAATACTAATTCTAAGACTCCCAAAAACAAAGCAACATATGCCCTGCGTCCAATAAATACAGTACATAAATACAATATATCTCCCACCTGGTTAACTTAACAGTAGACAGTTGTATATATCAAAATCCAGAATGATCATTCTCTAGTTTATTTAAAAGGTATTAGATTCATTTGTAATTCTTTACTGCCCTCTAAAGGTTGTTGAAAGAAATTCAGCTTTGATTTAAAAACAGAAATGGCTCTTCAAGGACTGGACCATGTGGTTTTGGCATCTTCAGTGAGAAGCACCTGCTCATGTGGAAATGCACCATAAACAAAGTTGAGTGTTGTTAAAAATTATAAGTGTTTCTTGTTTTAAAATACCCTAATCATTTTCTTCACAATTTCATAATCACCTCCTTCAAAATATATTTATAAAATTGCTACAATATTTTAAAAAGTGACTTCATTAAATTACCAATCTGATTTATTTCTCAAGGCTAAGGATTCAAAGGACTTGGTAAGACCCAGGATTCTCCACAGCTCTTGTGTTCACTATCTCTAATCCCGGTTAAGGTCCTCCTGCAGACATCATCAGTCCACTGTATCATCAGGCACGTTTCAATGACTGAACATAGGGTGCTGCCCGAGGCAGCCCTGGCCTAAGTACTTCACACAGATTTAATCCTCATAACACAAATGAGGAAAATGAGGCAGAAGATGAGAAATCAGCCTGAGGTCACAGTCTGAGATCACAGTCTGATGCTGGTGTTGTGGGGACTGAGCCAGACAATACAGCCCAGCATCTGTGCTGACAAACCAAGCACTCCGCTTAATGTACAGCTGAGAGAACTTCTTATGAATGTATCATTAGTCAGCACTATTTGCTCATCCATGCACACAAAAATGAGACAAAAATAAATTTTTAAACAGAAAAATGTCTGTTCATCTTTAAGCTATTTCACTCAGTCTGAAACACTGTCAAGGGTAAAATACGTCATTATTATATTAACTACCAAGAAAGGAAAATAGTTGTCAATTAAACTAACCAAATGCCATAACACTCACATGGCAACACGTCACCTATAAGGGAGTTGACCACCTCTCTCTTGCCCCTACCATGTGCAATTTTATTTCTAATAAGGACCACAAAAAGAGATTATTTTAATACCACTCTTTTAGGAAAGGGATCCTCCATTTACTCCCTCCCAATATAGAAGGTTGAGAAAGAATATAAACTCACTTACCTACATTTGTCTACTTAATTTTGTTAATTGTTATTTGAAATACAAGTTTGGTTGTCATTAATAGAGATACTTTTTAGATTAACTGAATCTAGCCAAAAAGAAAATTCCATACTACTGAGGGGAAAAAATCTTTAAACTATTTTAGTATCAACAATTTTATTTTGTTCAGTTGAAT